CATCGTTTCATAATGTATCGTATCTAAATGTATTGTATTGTACCGTTTGATAAATACAATATTTGGATAGATTGTGTCGTTTGCCATCGTTTCATGATATCACGCACCAACAATATGAAGAATAAACTTGTAATAGTATAAAGAAAAATTATGATACAAGGTTAAATTACTATATAAAAAGGTAGGGTAAATGCTAAAATAAAATTATTTAATAATAATAAAGGGTGAGATTGAGAGAAAAAGACAAGGTAACGACGCGACCACATCAAATCGATCGTTATATAAAGCAGCACATTTTGTCGTTCGGATTTAACGATAAGTTACAATAAAATTTAAGTAACAATCAAAACAAACATCATATTTAAAGTAACAATACGATACAATACAATGGGTAACAACTATCCAAACAAGCTGTAAGGTGAGCTACAAAATAATGTTTATATTTTCTTTTATAGTCTGTAATATTTTTCTTCTTCTACTCATGTTAAAAGCTGGTGCTTCATACTTTTTGTGGATTGGGTTCTCTCTCAGAGGGAAGATAGATGAATTCCACATTTAAATTTACTGATTTTTAATGCAAACTAATTCATTCTGTGGAAAAGACTTGGGAGTCTTCGTCATGTATATTGATAGTATCAATCCTTAAAGAGAAGATTTTATTAAGAAGTTGTATTTTTTTCTTTATTACTTTTATAATAGAACAAATTTGTAATGAATTTTATAAAAGTTTTATTAAAAGTAGGAAGCCCCTATCGATATGTCATGCGCTTTTTTACCCTTAATAAGTGAATTCTACGTTGGATATAATAGTAATTGCATTCACTAATAATTTTCTTTTGTTTTTGGGAAGAAAACCAAAATTATCGTGCATTACCTTTATTTAGGGTTTTCTTGGTTTAGAATTAGGATCGTTTACTGCCGCATTCTTTACAGTTTTCTTTGTTTCGATTCTTTACTTATAGCTTTCTTTTAGGTTTAGAATTCTTTTATTATCAATGTTACATATACTTACTAGTGTATCTCTTACGTTTGCGTTTCTTCTTTGTTTTAGGTTTAGGTATTTACTTTAATTCCTCTTAGAATATGTGTACAATGATTTTACTTTTGGTTGGTATTTGTACCANTTCTACAATATTCATTTGGTATAGTACTTTTGCACAACGGTACAGTTATGTATTCATTTAATAATTCTTTGGTTCCGTTCTCTTATTTCAGGTTTAAACAATCATTGCCCCAGGAAATAAAAGTATCTATTTCATAAGGTAATTTATTTTTCGTATGATATGAATTCTTTCTCAAAAATTAATTTCATGTGTCAATATCAATGAAGGTTAGAGTTTAACATATTGTGAAGTTTTATAATTAAAAAATATTATCAATAACTGTGTCCATAGTAAAAATTTGATATTTTTTTTTAAAATCTAATGACTTAACAAAGATTTGAATCAGCTTCTGGAGATATTGACGGTCACATATTTTCATAGCGGCTTCACATTAATTGAACGTCCTGCATTGAAACTGAAGAGCTCTTGTCTTGTTTTGGTTTATCATATAAGTTAGTTGGAGATTGCCACTTTAGCTCTTATTAAACTGTAGGACTTTTTGTTTAATGTGCAGAATAGAGATGATTAATGTCTTTATTTTTTTAAAAATAGGCGAGTTCAACTATTTCCATTCCAACTGCCACCATTGAATTATTTTATTTTCTATATATTTTGCATATGAGTGCAAGCACAAGAGTTTTTTTAGTCGGAAAATAAGTATAAATTTGTAGGCAATTGAGTATGGTTTGTTATTCAATTCAGTTAATTTATTTTAATATTTGAGACCAGACTACTTGATATTTATTTAGTATGGATTATATCTTTGTGAAATTTGTGATAATTATCTAGAAGATTCATTCTGACGAATGAAGGTAACAACGATTAATGATATAATGATTGAAATTTAATCGGGGCTCTAGCTAACATATTGTACGGTTAAGATGCTTCTCTCATGAGTGTATTTTTTCTATTCAAATTGGCGTCTTCAGAAATCGCAAGGTCTCTGGTGACCCATGTATTAGTAATGCCCTTGCCTATTTTTCCTTCCTTGTGCAATATATTTATATTGTTAAAGAGTAATTACATTTTTATCGCTTTGGTATACTTTTTTCATAATCTGCATCATATTATTCTTTTAAATTAGTAGTCAAATATATAAAATAATTTTCTTTTATTTAAAGTACAATAAGTGTTTCTTTCAATATGTTTGTAATATTTTTGAGATGCTCAAATAAAAATTATTGATTTTATCAAAATTATATTCTTCCTTATTTGAACTATGTAAATAATAAATTATAAAAAAATAACAAAGAAATAACATACACCAATAATATAATTCAGAAAGAGATAGTAGGTTAGACACAACATGATAACATATTATTTTTTTATACAATAAAATAATCAAATACTATATAACTAATTCACATAAAATCAGAAGATACAAAATTTCTTTTAAATTCAACTATTGTATCAATGTTATAATATTTATGTTTTCGTTAATTAAATATTGCATCTAACATAACGTTAATTGTTATTACACATAATTCTTTTTTATTCTATATTTTATACGTTTTTATCAATAAACTCAAAAAACACGTGCAACGCACGTACACTATAACTAGTAGGAGAAGAAAAGGTCTAAAATTTTATTCAAATGTCTAGTAAATAGACCACGTGTCACGACCCGGATTTTCCACCATCGGGAGTCGTGATGGCGCCTACTGTTGGAGCTAGGCAAGCCAAACTTTAAACATTTTCGGATAACAACATAACAATAATAAAATGACGAGTCTTTAAATAAATGCGGAAGTCTTTTAAAACATAAATAACTAAAAATCCAAAATGCGGAAATCTAATATTTCACTACCCAAGACTGGAGTCGCTGTATCACGAACCACTAAAGAGTGCTACAAACAAGGCTGAATAGAAAAATACATAATGTCTGTCTCGGTACAATGAAAACAAACAGAAAATATGGAAAGGGACTTCGGCCTGCGAACGCCAGCTAGGCTACCTCGTAAGTCCCTGGACTGAAGAGGGCTCCCGATCAACTACTGCTGTGGTCCAAGAGCTGCTCCGGTACCGTAATCTGTGCAAAAAGCACAGAAGTGTAGCATCAGCACAACCGACCCCATGTGCTGGTAAGTGCCTGGCCTAACCCCGGCGAAGTAGTGACGAGGCTAGACAGGACTACCAAGTCAACCTGTGCAGTTCAATATATATATATATATATATATATCAATAAAGGAAAGAATACCGAAATTAAACAGTTAACTAGGGAGGGAAGCATGCTATGGGGGAGTACAAACCGGATATAAAGTCATCAACTTAAGTAAGAAACAGAGCAATAACAATAATTAACAAAAACAGGAGAATCAACAGTTGCACGGCATCAACCTTCGTGCTTTTACTCTCAGTCTCACAAAAAACAATCAAATAGAATGCACGGCATCACCCTTCGTGCTTTTCCTCACATAACTCTCATTTCATGGCACGGAATGATCCTTCGTGCAATTATAGTCAAAATCAGAGCACGGAATGTCCCTTCGTGCATAAATAATAAAAACATGGCACGGAATGACCCTTCGTGCAAATATAATCAAAACATGGCACGGAATGACCCTTCGTGCAAATATAATCAAACATAGCACGGAATGACCCTTCGTGCAAATATAATCAAACATGGCACGGAATGACCTTCGTGCATTATCACTCTTCCTCACCCAACCAACAATCACAACCAAACGGGCGAGGGAATAAGCAAATAATAAGAAATGTCCCGGCAAGGGAAAACACAATTAAACAGCTAAATCCCGGCAAGGGAGTAACAACAACAACTTTCTCATCCCGGCAAGGGAGATAATCAATATACTAAAACCATCCCGGCAAGGGATTAATCATATCTCTTTCCATTTCTTACTCAATAGTATTTTTATTGTTCGAGCCAACGCTCCAAAGAATTTACAATTCATAACCAATCCTCAAACTCTTCACATTATGTAGAATTCATCAATTAGCATAGAAGAGTCTCGAAAATATTAGAAATACGTGCAAACAAGGACCCACGGTCATGCTAGACACCGGTGTATAGATACTCGTCACCATGCCTATACACCGTACTCGATCATTTAGCAATTAATAACACTCTAATCCTATTCCCTCAAGCGAAGGTTAGATCAAACACTTACCTCGGTCCAAAGAATAGCAATCAATCCTCATATACCGCCTTTCCTCTACAATCCGACTCTGAAACAATGATATCTAGGCATAATTAATTCAATAATATCAATTAGTGCCCAACAACATAATCCCATAGCCTAGAAATGAGTTTCCTAACATTCTTCCAAAAATACCAAATTTAGACACCGGGCCCACATGGTTCAAACACGAGGCTCGGACCAAAACCCAATCACCCATAACCCCACGAGTTCAAATATATAATTTATTTTAAGATTCGACCCCAAATTGAGGTTGAATCACCCAAAATTCTCAAAACCCTAACTCTACCCAAAACCCCTAATTTCTACTTTGATTTCATGATTTAGGCTTAGAAACTTGCTAATTAATGAAGGAAAAGTGAAGAAAATGAGTGGGGAATTACTTACCCAAGTGGTCTTGAAGAGTGAGGGCTTCAATGGCTTCCTAAAGCTTGGGGGAGAAGAGAGCTCGCGAGAAAAGTGAAGAAATCCCGTGTGTTCTGATTCTGGAAATTAAAAATATAACTGGGCGTTTTACCCTACGCGATCGCGACTAAGAGGACGCGTTCGCGGTGAAGAGAAACTGGGGGCATCGCGTTCGCGATGGGTATGATGCGAACGCGAAGAGGAAGCTGGTGGGGGCCCTGGGATTGCCTTACACGAACGCGTAAAAAGGGGACGCGAACGCGGCTGGGGAAGGGCTGAAGGTACGCGAACGCAGGGGCCTTTCCGCAACGCGAAGAAGGGAGAGTCCAAAGCTATGCGAACGCGGGGTCGAGTCCGCGATCGCGAAGAAGGCAACAGCTGGGCAAAACTTGCAGAGAAATCTGCTACAATTCCTAAGTGTAAAACACCCCGAACCACCTCTGATTCACTCCCCGGCCCTCGGGGCTCCTAACCGATCACACATACTAACTCAATAACATCTTACGAACTTACTCGAGCGATCAAATCGCCAAAACAACATCAAAATCAATGAATCAAGCCTCAAAATCATCATTTTCATTTCTAACTTCATAAATTTCCAACTTTAGATAATTAGGTCCGAAATACGTCAAATGACGTCCGATTCCGACCAAACTTCACAGAAAATGCTTAACACATATTTAAGACCTGTACCGGGCATCGGAACCAATATACGAGCCCGATACCATAGTCTTTTAATCAATTTTTATTTCCATTTTCCTTAATAATTTCAGAAAAATAATTAAACAGAAAAATTCTTTTCCCGGGCTCTAGACCTCGGAATTCGACTCCGGGCATGTGCCCGAGTCCCATATTTTTCTACGGACCCTCCGGGACCGCCAAATCACGGGTCCGGGTCCGTTTACCAAAAATGTTGACCGAAGTCAACTTTAATCATTTTAAAGCCACATTTTGAAATTTTTCACAGAATTTAACATATAATCTTTCCGGCTACGTGCCCGGACTGCGCACACTAATCAAGACAAGTAAAAATGAGGTTTTCAAAGCCTCGGAAGCACGGAAAAAGAGAGAAATCCGGTGATGACCCTTTGGGTCGTCACACCACGTGTCTATAATTGTATTCCTACTACAGACACATCACCGAATATGAATCACATATTACAAAGAGGTAAGGAAACGTGGATTAATTAATTGACGACGAATTATTCGTTAACTTGTGAGCAGAGTAGGAAACTCTACTGTAATTTGTAAACCTTTTCTTTGTTGTGATAATGATTCACAACTACCTGTACTAGGTTAATGTTTAGGATTACTTAATGGAGGGCTTTATTCACCAACAGAATAGACTTGGAAGCAGATTCAAGACTTTATAGACTTATAGCCTGTTTGGCTAAGCTGGAGAAATCAGCTTATTTTGAGAAATGTTTTTTTCTAAAGTGTTTTTGAAAAAAGTACTTTTGAATAGAAGTAGTTTGTGTTTGGCTAATCACTCTAAAAAGCACTTTTGAGCAATAATTTATGTTTGGCCAAGCTTTTCAGAAAGTACTTTTAAGTATCAAATTACGAATAAGCTAAGGACATGAAAAGATTTACTTAATAGTTAATACTATAAGTGACCAAAAATGATAAGTTACGGCATTAAAAAATTTATTAAAAATCCGCTCTCTCGGCGCACGATAGAGTGCATGTGTCAACCACGACAAGCCCAAATATAACAAATCGGTGACAACTGGCAAGAATTTGGATCCAATTACTGTTGAATTGGTGGTAAAAGGGGATGCAGTGAAGGTAGCTCATCCTCAAGTGAGTTTACCTACTGTTGAGGCTGATAAAGGGCAGAAGCAGTGGGCGAACCTATTTGTGGGATCGAGTTATGCGGCGAAAGGAATGGATCTTAGCTTTATTGCACCTATTATAAAAAATGGCGAGGTAACTGTGGAGCTCTGTAAGGAAGAGATAGAGGAGGAGACTCAGAAATGGAAGCTTGCGTTAATACTGTATGTTGTTGGAGGAAGTCCAACAATAGGCGCCATGGAAAGGTACATTGCTTCAGTATGGAATTTTGTAGCTAAGCCTAAGGTGTATTTTCGTGATGATGGTTATTTTGTGGTTCGTTTCAATTCGATTGAAGATAGGGATGAAGTTTTGTATTCAGGGCCTCACATGTTGAATAATAAGCCTATCATGGCCAAAATGTGGTCGGCTGATTTTGATTTCAATAAAGAGGTTCTTCAAACTATACCAGTGTGGGTGAAATATCCTAATTTGCCTTTGAATTGCTGGGGAAAGAGGTCGCTAAGTAGGATCAGCAGTGGATTGGGAATTCCTCTCTATGCTGATGCTTATACTACTCAAGTGGATAGGATCTCATATGCAAGGGTATTGATTGAAATGGATGTTACTAAGAAGCTGCCTAGGTCTATCAAAGTGACTGATCCTAATGGAAGGGAGTTTATACAGGAAATAGCATATGATTGGGTTCCTGAATTCTGTACTAAATGCATGCAAGTTGATCACCAATGTAGAGTTGCTGAACAGAGTGGACCAAAGTTGAAGGCTAAGAATGTAAAACAGAAGCAGGAATGGCAACCTAAGGTGGTATCCAAAGTGCAAGAACCAGTTGTTAAGGAGCAATTACAGTTAAAAGAGACTACAAATGAAAAGAATGCTAGTCATAGTACATTAATGGCTAGTACTAGTGCAGGAGCTGAAAGAGGAAATGAGGAGCAAATGTGGCAGACTGTTATAGGAAAATTAGCAGCTAGAAGTAGAGAAAGACAACCAGCTGATGTAGTAAATGTAATCGATGGATTTAATCTACTTGCAGAATCTAAACTGCAGCTAGCTATGCCAAGACAGATAGAGGGAGGAATAGGTAGACAACAGGGTGATACTGGGCAGGAAGGTACTCTACAACCCCTTTTTATACCTGTATGAAGTTAGTAACCTGGAACATAAGGGGCTTAAATAAAGCCCCTAGACAAAAAGAGGTAAAGTGGTTCATTTGTAGTAATAAAGTAAGCATGATAGCATTACTAAAACATAAAATAAAAAAGCAGAAGGCCGAACAAGTTATAAGGAAAATTATACCTGGATGGGCATCTTTAGACAACTATGAGTATAGTAGCAAAGGAAGAATATGGTTGTTATGGGACACAAATGAAATAGAGTGCAAAGAGGTGAGTAAAACTGCTCAGACTATAAACACTACAGTATATATTAGGAGATTGGATATGAGATTTACTTTTACAGCTGTGTATGGCCTGCATAGAGTTGAAGACAGAAGAAGTATGCGGAGTGAACTGACAAGGCTGCACTCAATACAACAAGGGTCATGGTTGATAGTGGGGGATTACAATACCATTAGATCAGTTGAAGATAGACCAGTTGGTAATCCAGTACAAGAACTGGAGGTAAGAGATTTCAATGATTTTATTGAAGGCACCGGATTAACAGAAATGAAGACTAGTGGAAGGAATTTTACATGGACAAATGGCCATACTTATAGTAAGATTGATAGAGCCCTGATCAATGCTGATTGGATGCTGGTAATGCCACAATTGGAGGTCTGGATTATGGATCCTCGTTGTTCTAATCATTCACCATTAAGTATAGCACTGGAGGAGAATGAAGATTTTAGCTCCAAACATTTTAAATTTCTAAACCATCTAGCTGAACATGATGACTTTATGAAGATAGTTAACGAAGCATGGGAGAGGCCACAGGAACCACACACTATGAGGAGTATTTGGCAGAAACTCAAAAGAGTAAAACAGGCCATGAAGGTCTTAAACAAAAATGAATATAATGCTGTGGCTGATAGGATCAAGGTGTGTAGACAAAGACTAACTGCCATACAGGAACAAATGAGGGATCTTGGGCAAGATGAGACCTTAGTAGCTAAAGAGAAAGTAATGAAAATACAACTGGAGAAATGGTTAGGGGTGGAGGAAAGCATTATGAGACAGAAATCAAGAGTAAAATGGCTAAAGTTAGGTGATGCCAACACAACTTATTTTTTTGCAAGTATGAAAAATAGATGTAACCAAAACAAGATTAGAAGACTAATAAAAGGTAATGGGAGCACAGTGCAAACAAGGAAGGACATTGAGGAGGAGGTGGCAGGGTTTTACCAACAGCTATTAGGCTCATCAGCAAGTGAATTGCCTGCTATTAATCCAGCTATTATGAGAGATGGTCCCATGATGAATAGACTGCAACAACTACAACTGATTGCACAGGTCTCAAAGGAGGAGATTTATCAGGCTCTGAAAGGTATCAGTGACAACAAACCTGGGTGTGATGGATTCAATGCTTTATTCTTCAAGAAGGCTTGGGCCGTAGTAGGAGATACAATCACAACTGCAGTTATTGAGTTCTTTTCAAGTTCAAATATGTATCAGCCTATCAACTGTACAACAGTAACCCTTATTCCTAAGGTGAAAAATCCTTCTAAAATTACTGAGTACAGGCCAATATCATGTTGCACAATTCTTTACAAGATTATATCAAAGATACTAACCAACAGACTACAAGGAGTGATGGATGGACTGGTGGATAAGAGTCAGTCTGCATTTGTTCCTGGTAGACTGATAAATGACAACATAATACTTAGTCATGAGTTAGTGAAAGGATATGGTAGGAAAGGTATCTCTCCCAGATGTATGCTGATGATAGACATGAAGAAGGCATATGATTCAGTGGAGTGAGGTTATCTAGAGCAAGTGTTGACACATCTGCAGCTGCCAGGGAGATTTGTGCAATGAGTTATGAGCTGTGTTACAACAGTCTCATACTCCATTATGATTAATGGGCAGCCTACAAAGCCATTTCAAGCTAAGAAAGGGTTGACAGGGAGATCCCCTATCTCCTTACCTATTTGTGCTGGTTATGGAGTATTTGACAAGACTTTTGAAGACACTTAAAAAGGATCCTAATTTCAACTATCATCCTAAATATGGCAAACTGAACATAGTGCAATTAAGCTTTGCTGATGATCTATTACTGTTTTGTAGAGGTGATGCCATATCTGTTCAGTTACTATTTCAGTGCTTTCAACAATTCTCAAAGGCTTCAGGGCTAGTGGAAAATGCTGATAAAAGTTTCATATTCTTTGGTGGAGTGCATGATGACCAACAACAGAAGATATTACAAGACTTGGGTTTTGTCAAAGGAACACTACCAGTTAGGTACTTGAGGGTACCTCTTAGCTCTAAAAGGTTATCATTAATACAGTGCCAGCCTCTGCTTGAGAAGATGCTAGGAAGAATCCAATCCTGGACATCAAAGAATCTGTCATATGCAGGAAGAATTCAGCTAATCAAGAGTGTGTTATTCTCTATCCAAGTATACTGGTCTCAGGTGTTTGTGTTGCCAAAGAAACTCATCCAACTTATTGAAAGAGTATGCAGAACATTCCTATGGACTGGGGGTGTAGAAGTATCAAGGAAAGCTCTATTGTCATGGGACAGCTTATGCAAACCTAAAGCAGCTGGTGGTTTAAATTTGCTGGCTATAGAGGAATAGAATAAGGCAGCCATATGTAAACTCCTTTGGAACCTATACAAGAAGAAAGATAGGTTATGGGTTATGGGTGCAGTGGATACATGTGTATTATAAGAAGCAGAATGCATTGTGGAGTATTGTACCAAAACAAGCCTCTTGGATAGTACAGAAGATACTTAAAGCCAAACAATACTTTGAGGAAGTTGGTTATACAGAGGAGGATGTAGAAGGGATAAGCAGCTTCTCTATTAAGAGTATGTATGAGAAACTGAGGGGTGAATTTGATAGAGTACCATGGAGGAAACTGGTGCACAGCAGTGTTGGAGTACCATAATGGAACTTCATAGTCTACCTAGCTGCACATAGAAGATTGATGACTACAGACAGGCTGAGGGATTTGGGCTATGTGGAGGATGTAACATGTTGTTTATGTAACAGTGAAGAGCAGACAATTGATCATTTGTTTTTTAAATGTACCTATTCATCGAGAGTATGGACAGCAATGCTGCAATGGCAAGGGATCCAGAGACAACCAATGATGTGGGCAAATGAACTTGAATGGGCAGGAAAGTACTACAGAGGGAGGAGCACAATAGCTGAGTTGTATAAACTTGTGCTGGCAGGAACACTGTATTACATATGGCAAGAGAGGAATTGCAGGATCTTCAAAGGAGTGCAACGACCAGAAGTCATTCTAAGCAGAGCAAATTACGCAGGATGTGCATGGGAGAGGAGAAAGTAAACACAGGATACAAAGAAGACTACGGGAACTCAACTACTATCCTAGTATGTAAAGATTGTTCTATAGATAGTAGTTAGACTAAATTGTTTCTTGTAATAGTAGTTAATGAAGCCAGGAGTGGAGCTAAAATCTGGGATGTCTATCCAGATTAAGCTTGAGTACAGCATGTAAATTATTTGTTGAGAAAAGAAAATGTTATTTACCAAAAAAAAAATCTCATAAATTTGTTATTACAGGAAATAATTAAATCTTTTTATTTTATTTAAATAAAATATAAAAATAAAATTAAAAAGTTTTTAATTCTTTTAATATAAGTTAAATATATTAAAATTCATTCAACAAATATAAAAGCATTCACCCTAAAGTCACTATATATTAGAAATCTATCCTAAAAATAAGAAGAAATACTTATACATTAATATCCTAAGTATTAGGTTTAGCAGTTATTTTGGTATATACTATATTTTGTTAAGGGTATTTTAGGTAAGAAAAAAATTTAAAACTACTTCTGCTTCTACTTTTGGGAAGAAGGTACTTTTTTCTGCTTCTCAGAAACTACTCCTGCTTCTTCCCAAAAGCACTTTTTTCCCCCAAAAAAGCTTGGCCAAACACCTCAAGTTAAGAAAAAAAAGTGCTTTTGGGAAGAAAAAAAAAAGCACTTTTGGCCTCTTGAGAAGCTTGGCCAAACAGGCTATTAGTGTTTACTAATGTATAGGATAAAATATGTTTATATTAAATGATCACATGAGAAAGTGACACGTGGAGCCGAAGACAGAAGGCAGTCGGGTCCGGAGGAAATGATCTCGTCTGTTACTAGAGAAAATGATGCTTATAAAGATGAAATAAATGTCTGCCACCTGATAGCATTTAATAAAGAGTATTCTACAACATTAAGTTTGCGGCCCCTTACAAAGAATATGGCATTCACAGCCTGTCGTTACACATTCTTCAATGGCCCTCATAATTGTCATTAAAGAGGGGCTTGATCCTAGGACCTTGTTCCCTAGGTGCAGCTACAAATAGTGAGCTATATTATCATTGTAACACACGAATTTTCTGACAAACATACGCTACACTCCCTTCAAAGCTCAATATAATTTTATGTTCTTGTTCATTTATATCGTTGTTATTGTCCCCGGAAGCCATTCTCCCAGAATTACAGTTTCTGCTGTTTTATCTCCACCTCAAGGCTAAGCATTATATTTTTATCTAATTTAATTATTATTTTGGGATCAAATTAATTCACTTGTCTATAAACCACGTATAAATTTAATTGTACCGTTTTACGGGTAAACAGTTTGGCTTGAGTTGATCCTTGCATCTATTACTAACTCGTTTGATTATTTGTTCTTAGTAAAAAATCATAAAAATGACGGAGAACGGTGTCAACAACACACACAATGTTGAGGTCCAAGGAAATCAGCCTCAGCACGAGGATTCAATCAGTGATACCTGCAACAAGGGGAATAAGGTCACGCCGGTCCATGGCCGACGATATTTGCGACATGTTCGAGAGGCGACTCCTGATGCTGATGAAAAACACGTCGTCAAAGCAGTAAGGGTCTTGCAGGAGCAACAAGAGGCCATTATAGGCCATCTCACATGACAAGATAAGGTCATGATGGAGCTGAAGTAGACGTTGTCGGGTGCTTCCAACAACGCGAATGGACGAGGTCTAATTCTTCCCGGTGTTCCTGCAAATCAAACAACGCAGAGGGTCAAAAACAACACCCCGAGGGGCAAGGTCGGCTTCGATGGGGCCGGGGGGGAGCGGATCTGGTCACAACAACGAGAGCAATGCCTTTAAGATCGAACTCATGTGTTTTAATTATAAGGGAAGTGAACGCCTGAATGGATCAAATTCCGGGCGCACCACCTGTGCTGAAAGGGCCAGACTCAAAGAAGTACACACAGTTGCCGTACAAACCAAGCGCGACACCAGAATTGCTCCTGAAGCAGTTTAAAATGCCAGATGTGCCGAAGTATGATGGGACTTCAGATCCTCAGGATCATATCACCACCTATACGACGGCGGTGAAGGGGAACGATTTAGCTCCCCACGAGATTGAGTCAGTGTTGCTGAAGAAATTTGGGGAGACTCTTATGAAGGGAGCCCTGACATGGTATTCGTTTTTGCCCGAGCATTCCATAGACTCCTTTGAGATGCTCGCGGACTCTTCCATCAAGGCCCATGTCGGGGCCAGAAAGGTACAAGCCCGAAAGGCCGATATATTCAGGATTACATAAGGAGGGTCCGAGTTGCTGCGAGAGTTTGTAACCAGGTTCCAGAAGGAAAGGATGTTGCAACCGGCCGTACCGGACGAATGGGCGGCTGAAGCATTCACCAAAGGTCTAAACCCGAGAAGTTCTGACGCTTCCCCGAAGTTGAAAGAAAGTTTTCTCGAGTTCCAGGTAACAACTTGGGCGGATGTTCACAACCGGTATGAGTCAAAGGTACGAATTGAGGATGATCAGCTCGGTTTCCCAGCATCGGTCAAGGTTCGGGATCGGGAGAAGAATAAAGAGAAATTGGAAGATGATTTCGACACAGATCAGCGGTCTTCGAGGGGTCAGTTTTTGCCCTATGAAAGGGCCAAAGGACGTGGTAGAGGTTTCCGATCGACAGATAGATTTGCTACCGATATGAGAACTGATCGTGGCCGAAACAACAGGTCATTACAGGACAAGGAAACGTCAGGTTCTCAAGATTTTTCCTACCCAGGCTTTGGAATACAACTTCAACGTTAGCGTAGTGGAGCTGGTTTCAGCTATGAGGAATATTAAAGAAGCACGGTTCCTGAAGCCAATAAGATCTGATGCAGCCAAAGGGATCTTAATTTGTGATGTGAATACCACGGGACCAATGGTCACCGGACTGGAAACTATCGGCATCTGCGCAAAGTTGTGGCGACGTTGCTGAAGAACTACCATCTCAGGGAATTTTTGAGTGATCGGGATAAAACTAACTATGGACGCAGTCGCGATAACACGGAGCCTTTGAAAGAAGAGAGGATCATCCATGTTTGACGATCACCATGATTTTTGGGGGGAACGAGATTAATGGCGTAACATTTTCGGCGTCGAAAAAGACAAAAGTATCGTTAACCCGCAGCAAAAGACTCCGGGAAGTCGCCGAGGACGACATTAGTTTTACGGAGGAAGACGCGGATGGGCTGTTGCTAACGCATAACAACGCCCTGGTAATCTCTCTAAATGTCTTGGATTTTAAAATTAAACGTATTCTAGTGGATCCAGGAAGCTCGGCCAATATTATCCAATGGAGAGTGTTGGAGCAAGCCAAGCTCAGCGGAAGTATCATTCTGGCCACAAAACTCCTCGTCGAGTTCAATCTGGCAAGCGTGACAATCCGAGGAGAAATCCTACTGTCCACGAACACCGAGGGGGTGAAGAAGACGACCCTTTTCGAGGTAGTGGACGGTGATATGGGTTACAATATCATCCTGGGGAGACCATGGTTGCACTAAATGAAGGTTGTGCCATCAACATATCATTAGTTGCTGAAATTCCAAACTCCCGAGGGAGTTAAACAAATTAGAGATGACCAACCGGCAGCAAGAGAGATAAATGAAATCTCAGTCTCCAGTAGCAAATGGAAGGAGCCTGCGGCATATTAATTACAGGAACTGACGCCTGCTCCCGAGCCAAGCGAAATCAACCAGGGAGAAGAGTCGTCGGAATCCTATCAGGTACCAAGGTATTTTCAGGTACCAGAAGAGACAGACACAACAAATATACAGCGGAGGGACTTGAACAAGTTGCATTGTTCGGAAAGTTCTTAGAAAGAAGTTCCACTCGGGGACAAGACTGCACCTCGAGCTCAGGTCTGGATTTATTGAATTCCTTAAATTTAATGTCAATTGTTTTGCGTGGTCGCATGCGGATATGATAGGTATCCCGCTAGAAATGGCCGTATACAAGCTAAGCCTGGATCCCAGCATCTCTCCGGTAAGGCAGAAAAAATGTCCAATTGCCGAGGTCAGAAACAAATTTGTCAAACAAGAGGTAACTCACATGCTTGATATCGGTTCAATTAGAGAGGTGAAGTATTCTGACTGGCTAACAAACATAGTTGTAGTTCCAAAGAAGAATAATAAATTTTGCATATGCGTAGACTATAAGGATTTAAATAATGCGCGCCCAAAAGACTCGTTCCCATTGCCAAACATTGATCAAATGATTGATGCAAAAGCCGGGCACGAGTTAATAAGTTTCCTCGATGCGTACTCCGGGTACAACCAAATCAAAATGAACCCGGAGGATCAGGAAAAAACTTTGTTCATAACTAACTTTGGCACATATTGCTATAATGTGATGCATTTGGGCTAAAGAACGCTGGAGCCACGTATCAGTGGCTCGTGAGCAAAATGTTCGGAAAAAAAATAGGGAAAACCATGGAAGTTTACATAGATGATATGCTGGTTAATTCTTTGAATGTAGGTGACCATCTTAAACACTTTCAAGAAACTTCTGACATCTTAAGGAATCATAACATGAAGCTTAACCCCGAGAAATGTGCGTTCGGGGTCAGCTCCGGTAAGCTCCTGGGATTCCTGGTGTCACAAAGGGGGATCGATGTTAACCCCGATAAAATTAGAGCCATCGAAGACATCCCGGATCAGCTATCAAGCGTGAAGGAGGTTCAAAGGTTAATAGGGAAACTGGCTGCTTTGAGCAGATTCATTTCACGCTCTTCAGAGAAATGCTATCATTTCCTTTCGCTGCTAAAAAAGAAGAACAACTTCGAATATATCCCGGAGTGTCAGCAGGCTTTGAGGGATTTGAAAAGATATTTGTCAAGTCCTCCGTTACTATCAAAATCGGAGGAAGGCGAATACTTGTTAATCTACATAGCGGTCTCGGGGGTAGCGGTAAGTGCCATTTATTCTGTGAGGATGAAGTTACGCAATCTCATATTTATTACGTTAGTAAAATCTTGACGAGAGCAGAAACTCGCTACCCACATCTAGAAAAATTGGCCT